TGCACAACTAGGTAAAATTTATTCAAGGTAATTATACGTGCTATTGCAACGCTCTTACAAATTTAGCTAAGTTTGTGAGGTATTGTGTAAAAAAAAAAATAAATAAATAAAATTATCTTCATCATCTTGGGCTACCGGTAAAAAGAAACCATACTGAACATATACAATTATCCATTTTAAACAAAATGTCATAAAAAGTCAAAACAAAGTTCACTTATAAGCTAAGAACATATTGGAAAACTAAATACCAAAAACAATATTTTTAATCGCCTAGGGGTCCTGAGGGGCTGGGATGTTATCTTCAATATCCTGGGCTGCCGATAATACCCGAACTCCTACAGACTCAGACAACCTCCGCAGCTCCTCCTTCTGACCCTCCAGCACCTTATCCAGAAAGGCCATATCAAAATCAGGCCTCTCCTTCCTGATGTGCCTCGCCAGCTCCTCCAGTGCTACCACGTAGACATCCTGGGCTATGACGTCAAACTCGAAGGACTCCTTCCAGGCCTCCACCACTCTGTCAACCTTGGCCTCAGCCTCTTTAGCCCTTTTGGTGGCCTCTCTTGTCCTTTCATTGGTCCCTTATACCTTCTGGATGGCCCCTCTGACTTTGCTGCTTTCCTCTTCTGCCCGAGCTCTGGCCTCTTCCTCCGAGGCCCTCAATGCCTTGATCTCTCCCATCAATCTCTCCTCAACATCGATCCTGGAGTTCAGCTCGATCCCCATCTGATTCAGCTTCTCTTCATACTCCTTCTCTTTCAGAGCGAACTGGACCTTTTCAGCCTCCATGCTGTTATAAAGATTGAAGGCCTGATCATTTGCCTCTAGGAGTTTGCCCAGCTCGGATTTCACCTATTTTTCAAAAATAAAAAATCAAGTAAGTTATTAAAACAGTTATAAAATTGATCAAAAGTTAAGTAATAGGTATACCTTATCCACCACTGCCATCATGTATAAAACTGATTGGTGACCATGGAGCTGAGCAGTGACCAATGCCTCACCAATGGGCATCTCATTCAGATAGCCCTGCTCTCTCTCACCCTAGCTTCGGGTAAGCATATTGGCTGACTCCCTCAATGGTGAAGTGAGTGCGACAGTTATTCCCCTGGAAGAAGAAGGAGCTCGGAGATAATCTAAAAATATCTCTAGTCGGTATCCCACCAAACTTTCCTAGCTTTGCCTCTGTAAATCTGGGCACCGATCCTGCAAGTTCGCAAAACTGGTCCCTACAGCAGAGGGGGCAGTTGGGGAAGGCAAAGAAGGAAACGGCAAGGTAGGGCTTGGTAAAGGCACTGCCTTAGGAATCCTCAGTGCTACCGGGGGCGCAGATCGATTACTCTTCAATGGAACCTCCTCCTTCACCTCTTTAGAACGGCTCTCCAACCGTTCTGGGACATCTCTCTTTTTTCCTTTGGCCGCAGCCGCTGCCTTGTAGCCCCGCATCTTGTCTTGATGATCTGAGAAAACAGTGAAACGCTCAATAAATATGTATATACATAAAGAAACCACGACCACAAATGAGGGTCAAAATATTACTTGAACTGGATGGAGCCGAACTTGAAGCTCGTACTTGCAACAAACCGGACTGATATAAGTTCGAATCTGAGATCACAAACTTACAGGACCTTTGTTTTTTAGGTAATGATCTTATTACCTCAGCTAATCTCTGTGTATCTTTGGTTAGCATCTCCTTCTTGTAATTTGTACAAAGGAAAAAATACCGAGGTTAATACTTTGTCAACATACGCCTTGCTAAAAGACTAAAGCCCAAAAAGACACTTACATAAAGAAAGATAGAGCCTGGGAACCACGTCCTCCCTATTCACCTCGATAGAATGAAACTGCCACTCTTTCGATACATAGAACCACTCTTCCTTCCATTTCTTAATTGAGGAAGGAGTGTCTAACACCGAAGAACCTCTTGTCCTGGGCCTAACGCTTGTGTACCACCAACCCAAGTTCTTCCCATCATCCTTAAAAGTAAACAGAGAATCGAATTGTTGGACACTTAGCTCGGGATTCCCCATTTGGTTACATAGAATAAGGGTGGCTATTAAGATTCGTCACCCGTTAGGGCATAGCCGCGTGGGGGCTATGTCCCAAGAAGAAAGGAATTTACGAATCGCTCTAGGAAAGAAAAGTCTAAGACCGACCTGAAAGATAGCCGAGTTCAGAGCAACACATTCCTCAGGAGGTGTGTCAGCTCGATCAGATGGTTCTGGTATTATCATCACTACTGAACTAGGGATGGCGTATTTAGCTCGCCAGTTGGCTAACATATCCCCTGTTACAACCGACCTATAAGAACTCGCCCCCCACTCCCCAAAATTACTCTCCTCAACACCATTACTGGATCTACTTGCTCCCTTGGAACCCTCACATCTGAAGTCCATGACAGGATGCCCTAAGTCGATAGGGTTAATTATAGAAATAGGAACAAGGGTAAAAAATTCTTTACAACTAGAAGACGAACTCATTGAGAAAGAGACTGACTCTTCTTGCTGGTTGCCCTAGGAATGAACTCTAGACTCGTCCGAACTCATGTATAGACTAGGAAATAAAGCACAAACTGAAAAGAGGAAGCAGATAAGAACAGAAGAATACCTAGGAAGCGAACTGGGAAAACGAGCTCACTCGAATATGGAAATACGAACTCAGGAGATGGCCTGAATATTTGAGAAAGTAAACCAGCAAAATAGGAGGAGAAATGACTGACCAAAAAGGAATTTAAAGAAAGAGAAGCTGAGAGGGCACGATCTGAACCGTTCATCCAAAAATGGAGGGAAAAAATCAACGACTCAAAACCCTGAGAGACAAAACGACGTAGTCTTAGCCAAGCTTGCTAAAGAAGCTACTTATAAATGGCGTACAACTCATCCACATCAAAAGATGACACTTGTCACAGCAATGAATGTTCTTTATGGAGAAAGCATCACTGAGGTCAGCCCCCCTACGGAAGAACTGACCTGGGGGGTAACTGTTGACATCCGAACTCCGACCTAATAAAAATAGTTCACTAATCCTCTCTTAGTTAAATGTTAGTTCGGCCCATACTCCCAGGTCGGACAAACCCGCCGTTATTTCAGAAAAATATCATGATTACCCCTTGTCATATCACCCTATCAATCAAATACACTTGCCACAAGTGATATTATCGTCGCCCGGAACAACCAATTCCAAGTCCTTGAACTCCAGCCCCTTACAGGTCATCATTACCTGGGTAATACATTGACACATGATCACCGGTTTCATCGACCAATCACAAGAGAATTTGGCGACTCGAGTTCCGAACTCAGCACTGTTGCTGATTTGATTGATTTGATGTAATTTCGACTGAAACTATGTATAAATAGTTGAATAGGACTCTTGTAAAAGGCAAGTGAACTCATATAACGACTTATGACACAATCACACTTAAAAGACATTTTTTATGGTCTTTTTAAAGCATAAATCGCCTTTTTTCTTAAAGTTGGTTCAAAATTATCCTTACTAATTTTGACGTCAACATTCTTTACCAATGAAAGTTAATGAAAAAAGAAAAAAAGAATTACTTATTTTAACATGGTTAAAGTTACTTCCGAACAAACAACCTTTTTCTTACTCATCCCATGTTAAGAAAGAAAAAAATATTTAGAGAACTTTGAATCCAAATTATAGGTGGTCAAACTATTTTATAAACACAAATAATAATAATAATAATAATAATAATAATAATAATAATAATAATAATAATAATAATAATAATAATAATAATAATAATAATAATAATAATAATAATAATAATAATAATAATAATAATAATAATAATAATAATAATAATAATAATAATAATAATAATAATAATAATAATAATAATAATAATAATAATAATAATAATAATAATAATAATAATAACTAAGCATTTTGTAGAAAATGTACAAATAAAAAAAAAAAATTGGTGAGGCAAGTGACCCACCATGCCCCCCGCCCGAAATCTGCCATTGGACAAACACATTTACTCCATTAATCTTAAACCTTGAAAACTTAAAAACCCGGCAATTGTATAAACAAATATCAGCCAATTATATTCACACCACAAATTTTTTATTTTTATTTTTTGTTGCACCATATTTTAATTACACTTAAGGTCCTCAACTTTTTTTAATTTTAACACTTATGCCATAACTTTTTTCATTGAATTCTTATTTTCAACCTTTGATTTATTATCATAAACATATTCTATTTGCGTGCTTTGAAATGAGAGAAACATAATTTGTTGCATTTTTGTAGTTTTTTTTTTTTTAAAGTAATGTAAGAAAAAATAAGTCATTTCACCGTCATCCTAATGGACATTCTAGACAGAAACCATTATTATAGACTAGACACACTAATTAACGTGAAGATAAAAATGCATTGAAAAAGAATTAGAAAAATAAATGCTAATAAACAAAATTTCAGGATTTTAAGTGCAATTATAACGTGGTCCAAATAAATACTATGCGATATGAATATAACTGTCCAAAAACTTGAACTATAAAGTGCATTTCATTAAACCATCGTATTAATTTTGCTTATAAATAAGCGAGTTCCTAACTTGTTGGCCTAGCTACAGGGGACGCCCCTTAATTTTCTTAGTGTAAAAAAATAAAAAATAAAAATCTTGTAATTCTTTTTTTTTTAAATTAAGTTTTTTCTACATATTAGTCTGATTAATAGTTCGATCCTAAATCTGTCTCCGCATGTTGGCTCAAAGAAGGGAAACTTATTGTAGTTTATAGTCATAGATGATCCAAATATGAACTTGTGTTTATAGCTTAAAATTTCCCCCCAAAAAAATAAAATAAATTGGGGAAAAAGTCCGTCGCAATTGTTACGTTGCCCAGGTTGCAATTAAATATTTTAGGGCTCTTCCAATGGGCTTCCATTTTTGCACCAATCCACAATTTTCGATTATCCTGTAATACGCTCAAGTTAACATAAAATTAATGGTGGACTGAATTGGAAATCTGGGTTTATCTCAGGCACAAGTGCCCTACAAATCCATGCAGATGCTTGCAAGTTTTCAAAATGGCTATCGAATTTGACACAGAGTTTGTGGAGATTGACGTCGAGGTTAGTCCCCAACATATAATACATGCTTAAAAGCTAGAAAAATTATTAGGAAAAGCCTCCCTGCACAGGATATGTACAGGTGTACACACATGAGAGTGGACCCCACACATCCATGTGTGTGCACCTGTTCAGGCCTGTGCAAAGGCGTGTCACAACTCTATTATTACTTATCTTGGCTTAGAAAATTAGTTTAACGCACAACCATACGTGCTCGTAAAATATGTCTTATATTTCAGATGGCAACTGAAGCAGTTCTTAACGAATTTATGAGAAAAAGATCAAACACAAAAATAATTGTCTCAGGCCATTTGAATGGAGAAACTCCTACCACTGAAAATCTCGGCAACTTGATTATAGACCTACAATCTACTGGAGCTGATGTTATTAAACTTGTGGTTGATGTGTCTTTTATTACAGATGTAGCACCAATATTCCACATGCTCACCCATTGCCAGGTACTAAGTATATATGCTCGACTCGAGCAAATTTAGATACACATCTCTCTTTTTTTTCATTGTTGTCAAGTCGAGATAAATTTGTCTTCTGATCTCTATAGTTCAAGTTTTTAAATGATAGTATGGTGACAAATTTTTTATTTTTTTTATCAAAATTCTGACACATCGACAACTTTCGTAAAAGGTTAATTCTATGCAAGAGGGGACACGTTTATTTTTTTATGTAAAATTTTTGATCATGCATGCAGGTGCCACTAATTGCAAGAGCAGTGGGAGATAGAGGTCTTATAAGCCAACTATTGGGCCCAAAATATGGTGCCTTCTTAGTATGTGGATCTATAGGAGACAAATTCATATCTGGATTGCCACCTTTAGGCAGCATCAAACAAGTCTACAAGTTAGAATATATGAATTCAGACACACAAATTTTTGGTTTAGTCTCAAATCCTGTAGGTCATAGCAAAGGTCCACTTCTGCATAATCCTGCCTTTAGACATACAGGATATAATGGAATTTATGTTCCTCTCTTAGTCGATAATGTCGAGGAATTCTTCAAAGTTTACTCGTGCAACGACTTCACAGGCTTCAGGTACTCTCCATTTTCTGAAACAGTTTAGCATATTGATGAGCAAATTAGTAACATCAATATTAAGATAGATTTGAAGTGGATGCAAAGATTCTTAAGTATGGCTCGTTTGTCCAAGATTCTAGCTTTAGTTCTTCTTGATAATGGGCATTCAAACTTCTATGAAATTATCGTATAAAAAAAGAAAATCTTTGACATGAATTCTGAATTCATAATCAATGCAAAATACCAAATAAAATGTATTACTCTTGTCCTATTGTCGGGCATACTTGTGACTGGATTTCTTTCTAATGCAAAGACATCTACTTTAGAGATATGTATTAGTCTTCTTTGATCACATTTTGGATATATCTAATGTGTGAATTTCTACGTCTTCGGTAACTTATAGTGTTGGGATACCACACAAGGAGGCAGTGTTAAAATTCTGTGATGAAGTTCATCCCCTTGCTCAGGTATGAAAATTTTGCACGTCGATTTAGTAACTTCTTAGAACAAAGCTGAGGTATTTTCGGAGAGGCCAAGGATATGATTATTGGAGACGCTCTTTTTGTATGTAATTGTGTTTCATCTTAATTGTTTGAGTTGGTTTTATCAGAGGTTATTTCATTCTTACCCCTAATCTTTATTGATCTAAAGGTCCAACGGTTTCATTCTTTTTTCGCTTAATTTGGTCGAGAAATGTGGGAAATTAACTTAATCAATCTAGTCAGATCTTCACATATGCCTACGATGTAACAAACTTTTAACTGAATGATCTTCCCTTAAGGGATTCCTTGCATTATATAGGAAGAGTATTACATTAAATTGATGTTGCATAATTAGTAAGCATCAATTTTTTGACAAGAAACTAATGTACAAAAGAACTCAGATGCCCAACCCAAAAATAAGTACGCATTAACGAAAATTCTATTAACCCTCAACCATTACAAGAGTCACATGTAGACAAAAATTTTGTCAATTGTTGACTACCAACCACAACAATAACATGTTGACAAATATTTTGTCAACTGTGGACCATCACAAGAAAACCACACCTGAGAGGTTAAGTTATTCCCAAAAAATATTGAGGATATTGTATAAAGTCTACGAGGTAAGTTCTGATACATGACAAACTTTGTTAAGGGAACAAATCCCACATTGGTTAAATACCGAAATATTGACCGACTTAAATAGATTTTGGGTCACTCCTCTTAATAAGATTGACCTTATTAAGATGAACCTCAAATCTTAACATGATATCAGAGTCTAGTAAGCTCCAACGAGCTATTCGATCCGATGGATTTCAAAATTGGTCTGCTAAAAAAAGAGTCACCATATTGTTGGGGCATATTAAGGGAATAAATCCCACATCGATTAAATACCGAAATATTGACCAACTTAAATAGATCTTGGGTCACTCCTCTTAATAAGGTTGACCTTATTAAGATGGACCCCAAATCTTAACAAACTTTTGACTGAATGATCTTACTTTAAGGGATTCCTTGTATTATTATACCGGAAGAGTATTACCTCATAAACATGGGCGGATCCAGGGACGGGGCTGGGCCGTGCTGCAGCCCGTTCCTTCGACCCAAATGTCTTATAAAAAATTTTTTTTTACGTAATTTTCTTTTATGTGCAATATTTTTTTTTTTATACATATTAGCCTGTGTTTAATTTTTTTATGGATCCGTCACTACTCATAAAATTGTGATATCAATCTAAATATCATAGATGTAATCAGCCTAAATATGGTAAATACAATTATATACACAATTATGTTAAGTAATAATCTTCGTCAATCTTTGTGATTTTCGTGATCTTCTTTAGCCCCCATTTGGCTCCCATTAATTTTGATTATAATGGAAGAATAGTGCTTTTGTTTTAAAAAAAATGAATGGTTGTAAAAAAATGAAAAGTTTTTTATTTATGTTTAATATTATTTTATTAAAGATTGTATGATTGAAAATATGAGAGAGAAAAATTTAATTTAACTTGATGAGATGTAATGGAGGCAAAACGGGGCTTCAATCTCCACGACTTCTGTCGATCTCATTGACACGACCAGCTTGCGTATTTGCATAACTAGACTAAAAGATAAAGTGTTAAAGGAGTTTGGGTCTGGTTGTAGACAGGGGTGCAGTTTATCTGGTCACTGGCGGCTTTAAATTGTCATCTCAAGTAATTCATTATACAAAATTCTGCTTCACAATTGGTACTCTTCTCTAAATTTCGTGTTGCTCTGGATCAGTCCATAGGAGCAGCGAACACCATTGTTCGAAGCCCTACTGATGGAAAGTTGGTTGGTTATAATACTGATTGTGAGGCTTGCATAACTGCTATTGAAGATGCGTTTAGAGGTAAAATGATCTATTTTGGTTCTTCCATACTATGAAGAATGATTATATAAGTAATAACATGAATATAATTAGTAGTTTTTGTTAGAATGTCTATGTATAAACCGTTTGTTTGCCTTGTTATAGCATATTGATGGCTTGTTAGTAACATGATTTTAATCCCTTGAGAGCTTGTCTGGTATGCTGAATTGGATAAGACTGAAAAAGGGCAACATAGACCAAAATCTCATGTGGGCCATGGCTTTGTTTTTTAATCATGTTTAGTTAGCATACCAAACAAGCCGGGAGTGACTTTAAAAGGCCAATGATCTTTTGAAATTTAAAGTCCTACTATATAGCAACAATTTTTTGCTTGATTTTCTTTGGATTGTATTTATTCCACTCTTTGTATTGTGATAATGAGACTTCTAATGAATTTTTTCTATGTTGCGTGAAAATAGAACGACGAGTTGCAAATGGACAAGTGTCAAATGCTTCACCACTTGCAGGGAAATTGTTTGTCTTGGTTGGAGCAGGTGGTGCTGGACGAGCAATAGCATTTGGTGCCAGGAGCAGAGGGGCAAGGCTCGTTATTTTCAACCGCAGTTTTGGTAAACTCCTATCTCAGATCTCAACTAAAGGCTGCATTGTAGGTCTATTTTTCAAAATTTTCTTAACTGTGACTTGTCCCCCTTTTCCATTTTCCAAAAGAGAGAGCAAAAGCTCTTGCCAAGGCAGTATCAGGTGAAGCTCTACCATACGAATTCTTAAAAGAATTCTGCCCTGAGAAAGGGATGATTCTTGCAAATGCTTCGGCTGTGGGTATGGAGCCTAACGTAGATCAAACTCCTATTCCTAAGGTTCTTTCTCTTTCCCTTGGTGCATCACAAACCATCTGTTAAATTGCTATCTCTAAAATCTCAAACTGTTAGAGAATGGCATATTTATTTACCTAAAATCTCTCTCTCTCTCTCTCTCTCTCTCTCTCTCTCCCTCTCTCTCTCTCTCTCTTTTGGTAGAATTGTCTAACGTGTGATCGTAAAGGGGTTTCGGCTATATTTTAATTTAATGCTACTTGCAGTCGCTCACTCCAACTGCAAGTAGCATCATTCTTTAACTTAAGATATTTCTCTATTTTGATACCACGTTGAACTAATGAGTCTTCAACAACACTTGCGCACCTCACCTAGGAGGAAATGACATGAACCGGTTTGATATATTGGGAATTATATTCATTTCACCTTTCTTTACTTTTAGGTGGCCTTGAAATCGTATGAGTTGGTTTTTGACGCGGTTTACACACCTCGAAACACTCGACTACTGCAAGAGGCAGCAGATGTTGGCGCTATAGTGGTGAGTGGTGTTGAGATGTTCATCAGGCAGGCTCTCGGCCAATTTAAGTTATTCACTGGTGGATTAGGTACTATCTTGTCTCTCTCACTTTGATTATTTAATACTTGAAAAGCCAAAAAGCTCTTATTTTCTTTAAGAAAGATGTTCCTAACAACTTATAAGTTGATTTCTAATGCCATGAAACAGAAAAGTTAATAAATCTTAAGCTAAATTAATATCAAGGCACGTTATTCTCCTAACAAGATTGTACTTATACAATTGGATTTTTGTTTAAAAATGAGATAAGGGAATGAAGTAAACTTACTCCCTGTCGACAAAGAAGGGGGAGAAATTCAGGTCGAATGATAAAAACAGAAAGAAAGAGAGAGATACATATATATATATACCCACAGAGACCATATATAGTATAAATGAGGAATTTTTTTACTTTTAACAATTTGACAGTGAGGTTTGCTAACTCTTTCGAGTCTATTTGTGATTTCCAGCACCAGAGGACTTCATGCGCAAGATTGTATTAGAGCAATTTTGATATATATAATCTGTACTGAGGAACGTATTGAAATAAAGAGGACTTGATTGTAATATTTGGGAGGATTTATTTAATCATATAGGTCGGCTCTTGACTTGTTATTTCAATAAATCAAACTTAGAAAAATTAGATAAATACTTGAGTTCATGCCAAAAGCAAGGTCATTTTGAGAACCTTGTCTTCCCTAGGCCTTGCACGGCTTATCGGGAAGACGAAGAAGCTCTTCCTTCTATTTTTAGAGCTTATTTATAGACAGTAGTGACTCTTTCTTTCTTTTTCTTTTTTTCTCATTTTTAGAAGTGGAGATAAAGCTTATGATTTGTATAAAGCTTTCAACTTTCTAAGTCGGGAACAAGTTACCTACTGTTACGGACCTTCCTCCAGTCTTTGAGCAAGCTGTATTAGACAGAAACTCTTTTTGCAGACAGGGTTTAGGTTATTTATATAGTCCTTGTTTAAGCTTCATTCTTCTAAAAATTCATTTTCAACCACACATTCTTCAATAAAATAATATGACACATAAACTCAAAATTTTTTCTTAATTTTTAATTACACATTCTCCATCAATCATTATTTAAAAATATATTTTTTCCCTTTAAAATGGGGCTCAAACAAGGGTATAATGAATTAACCTATGCATATAAGTCCGTCAAAAATGCAGACGAATTTCTATAACAACTATGAACAAATAATTTAAGATGATTTAGTTCGATGAAAATTATCGACGAAATTTAAAAAATTAAATGCAATTTATAATATATTTACAAAATATATTCATTGTTAACCACGTAACTTATATATCCAAGATGCTATATTTTTCCACAATTTATTTATCAACTTTGATATTTCCCCTCTTTCGACAATTTTTGTCATTAATATCATTTTTTTCATATTTAATGAACTTTATGTTTTTCAGGTTCACTTTTTCATAGAATTTATCAATGGATTGTTTCCGTTGTCACTTATTTTTATTAATACTAGTCTATTGCCCATGCAATGCACGTTGTTATTTCAAGGGTAATGTTAGTGTTCCTAGATAATAGATTTATTTCTCCTTTTTTTGGTGGCTTCTTAAACCTTTAATGCATAATATAGCATTTTTTCATATACTCGCTTCTCCAAAGTTAAGATTATAGATATTCAACTTTATTATCAAATGTCATGAAAGTAGAAAATAATTATGAAAAAACTCTAATATTTATTAAATGGCAAATGGAACCTAATAACATTGAAGAATTGCAACAGAAATTCTAAACCTAGATGACTAAAATTATTAAGTCAAGGTAATAAAAGCACCTTCTTTCTCCCCTCTGCATGGAACATGATATCCTACAAGCAGATTTCGATACTCGACAATCCAATAAATGTCAAATCACTATGCATGATTCAGAATGGTAATAAGTAGATTGAACAAAGAACTAATCTTATATGCGGAACCAGTCCCCAACTCCCATTTTTATCGATTCATTTGGTCTCTTTGGAATTTTCTTCCACCTCTCTTTGAGTTTCATGGACTATGTCAGTCACCAGTCTTATGGGATTCTCATCATCCATGGATTGAGTGTCGTTACTATTGTTGCTTGTGGTGGATGATATTGAGGTTTAGCTATTCACATATTCTATTAATGCAAATAACATTACTAAAAGAATTTAAGAAGTTGATAGAACCAAAATTCAATCTAAATCATGGGAAAATATAGATAATGAAAAATCGATGCCAAATAATACCTTCAGTAAGTTACCTTGTCACATGGGCATTCTTTCCGTCTGAAACATACAAATAATTTGATGTGATTAAAAATCAGATTAACCATCCAAGTTTTCTTCTATTAATATAATCACTTGTAACAAATGAAATATGCATCGAAGATTTGATGTGATTTAAAATAAAAAAATCCCCTTTTCAACACGTGAAATCCTTATACTTTTCTGTTATTTATCCAGTAAAGCCTAGCCATTTGCATGACCCTACCTTTCATAACTCATTTATGACAGGTAACATGTGCCAAGGTCAATGGTAGGATCAATATACTTCTATCATATATTTGAAGTACAATGGATGTCAACCTCTTTCCACAAGTTGCATTTGATTCACCAATGGCAAGGAAACTACAATTTGGAGATGTAATTGATTTCAGTTCCCGGGAACAAAAGAGAAAAGGCTTTAGCAGGAGTACCAAAGCTAAAGTTCCAACTCATTAAAGAGAATCATTAATAACTGCAGTATAAAATACCTAGCACTTCCCAGTTTACAATTACTATATACGATGTTTAGGTGGGCTTATATAAGCTTGCTTAGTTCACTCATAAGGCGGAGACAAAATCTTTTTTTGTTGATGAGAGAACAACATCTTTTATGTTATTCTAAATAAGTAATCTTAGTTTCAAAACATTTTCACTTGTATATCTAGTTTAGGTTTCAAATTCCAAATCATATAAAACTCAAAATATATAGATAAAAAGATGATTCATACTTCAGCATTCAGATTGATCCCACCATAATTGACGACTTCGTCGATAACTCTAGAATCCATGGTAGAATAATCACAATATTAGATATATGAAAAAAATGTATATGCCATTCTATTGATTGAAGACTTACTGCCAAAGGCACCAAGGAGAAACTCACTCAGCCAATTTATCAATCTGAGCTCCCCAATTACCTCTGCCAGCTACTCCACGTTTTACCTGATTTCTGCAATGGAATGAGAGTACAATGAAATATAAATGTCTAAGGATTGCAAAGATGCAAAGGCAAAAGAGAGATTAAGTTAGGAACAAATAGGGTGTTCAATTTCATCTTTGCTAGCATTTTTCAATTTCATCAAGCGGATACAATAAGAATTGAAATCCCGAATCTAAGTTGTCATTGTTATTTTCTTTCTCAGATCTCAAAAATCAAACCTCTGATTTCTAAGCAAATCTTTTTCCAACAAAAAAAAAATGGAAAACAAAGATCTTTTCAAAACTTTCAGTAAACTTAAAGAGAAGCAATAAAAATGAAGCAATGCACTAAAGTTTAATTTTTGGAACTCAATTTCAAGCTAGAGATCATCAAATCAAAATTGATTTTGACATCAGCATCAAGATAATCAATCAATCCTTTTTTTTTTAAGAACAATAAATATCTGAAAATGATCATATTCTTAATTTCTTTGTTTGCATTTTGTATCATCATCAATTAGAGTACAAAAAGTAAGAAGAAACAAGAAAGCCAAATTCATTGAAGACAACAAAATTCATATGAAATCCAAAATTAAATACTTTCAACTAACAATTAGAAGAAAAATATGAATAAACGCACACACATATATAAATAGAGATAGAGAAAAATATTACAATATCAAGAGGGGCTTTAAGTGGATTCATAGTACTTATGTTTCCACGAGAGAAAAAATCGAAATAAACATTTTTTACCACCGGTGCAGATCTTCGTTCTATAGTATTAGATTCTGTTTCCAATGTACATTATGGAAGTGGGCATTTCCTGCAAATGAACATTTGAACCTAAGATATGGGTTCTTATTAGGCCATTAAAAGCAAGGAATTAAGGCTTCAAAAAATTAAATAAGCAATATCATTAGGAGGCCATGGACATTATATATGCAAACTTATATGAAATAATAAATATAGGTCTTGAAAAGAAACAAAAATCAATATACTGGGCATATTATTTTTGCTAAGAAATGGGCCGAATTGCATCATGCTCGTAGGGCAAAACACATTGTATCATGCTCGTAGGGCTTCTCTTGTATATTGTTAACTTAAAAGGTGGAATGAAATATATTGAACAAGAAGAGAATCATATATTTATTTAAAATTAATATTCAATGAGTCCATTTTGGAGAACTAAAACAAACTTAGTTCTACCAGTGAGCAGTCTATAACGTCTGCAAGAAAAAATTAAAATAGCACATTCATCTACATGATTATTGATCATAAGCAATTAGTATGAGAAATATGTACCAGGAGGCAGCCTCTCTTTGTTGTGGCCAACGATGCACCTCCCAGTAAGAATAGGCTGATGATCGAACAGTTGAAAGATGTCTGTCATATATCATGTTTGCTTTTACAATTTTGGATTATCACCTATCAAAGAATGTAAAATCTTTTTAGCCATTTTCACTCCCTTCACTTCAATGAAGGTATCAAAATCCCAAATGTCTTGTCTAGAATTTCTCCAACCTTTTCGTATATCCAACTTCCAATGCACTGGCTTTTCTTCTATAATGCTGTCCTGTTTGCTTTTGCAATTCTGGATTATCACCTGTCAAAGAACGTAAAATCGTTGCACCCATTTTCACTCCACTTACTTCATTGAAGGTATCAAAATCCCATATATCTTATCTTGTCTAGAATTTCTCCAACCTTGTTATATACCCAACTTTAAATGCATTGGTCTCTTCTTCTATAATGTTGTGACCACCCTTTCAAACCAAGGACTGAAAAATTCAAATTCTAAAGCAAACATACAAAATTCTTTGAACAGTCCTCTGATGCAAATAAAATGAAAGCTATCCAGGTTTTGGCAATATTATTTGAAGAATTTCAAGCAGCAGAAATTGAGAGAATCTCTCTTCTTTCCGTAATTACATAATCCATCAAGGATTTTCCCTTGATTACACACCCTTTTAGCTAAATATAATTATAGAGCCAAAATCAATTAGCTCAAAAACACTTGATATCCACCATATCAGGATTCTATCTTTGCAGTAGAAACTGCCATCAATTATCTTCGAGTAAATAAGAAAGACCAGAAAAAATTCGTTCGTCCTCTCTAAAATCTAGAGATAACCTCCGAAACTTTCCCCAGAATAACTATGAATCCTCATAAGACCTTTTTGCTATTGTCGTGTATTATTGTTCCAAGATCTTTACTTGAACTGAAAATAGTTCGATTTTCTCTCATGCCTTAGTTTGAAATTTTAGTTAAACTTTCATAAAAAGGGAAACTTTTCCATAGGATCTGCAGAAGTGATCAAGAAATTGAAGAAATTTACGGGATTGGAAGAAATTGACGGTCAATTCCAGTAATTAGTTTGAATCTTACCTTTGCTCTCCTTCTTAGGGCTTGCTTTGGCTCGGTTTGTCGAGAAAGAAACTTGTGAAAAAGCAAGAGAGAGTGAATGAAGAAAAAGAAAGCAAAATGCTCTTTATGTAAAATATCTATATCCTATTGAATAACCAGATAATGAATAGTAAAGAACCAGTTTCAGTGTGAATCGGAGTGTAGAAAAATTAACAGTAGAGCCAACATTCACTCTTTTATATAAAGGTAAAGGCAATGAAATGATATAATTAATATTACTGATAAATTAAAATTAATTAAGTACAAATTCCAAATTTTCAATTCATTTACAAGCAATGAAACGTTAAATAAATGTTCAGCCGGAACTGAAGGGAGTGATGGACTACAAAAACCTCTCCAGATTACACGAAGGTGACAAGTCAAACAAAAAGAGTCATCTGTTTTAAACAATAAGAAAAAACGGTGCTTCCAAAAACCGAGTAACCTAAATCTTGAACAAGTGAATTGTATTGAAGACACCGTCCACAAATTTTGAGATTTAAACAATTTTTATGAAGGGGAAAAAATATCAAAATCAAAACTTGCCTTATATTGACCGTAATAACACAGTTGAGGAGGACGAAACCAGTCGTTGGAATTTTAGGGCAAAAGGACGTTGATTTCTCAGAACTCTTCGTCCCTTCCACTTCAATGCCTTTCTCCTCTTCAAAAATCAAACCGAAAGCATCTAAGAAAGTGAAATTCGATCCATAAATCCAAGATTTGAATGATAGTAGTCAGAGTATGAGATATTATCACCTTCCTTCGAGCCTCGGTCTCATCTTACTTGTTGGATTTTACCCTTCTTCTTCCTCCTTTTTAGGGTTTGATTTTGTTGTGGAACAAGGAGTCGATCAAAAAAAACTTAAAAAATAGAGAATGTGTGAATGAATGAAGTGAGAGAAAGAGAAAAGGTTTATACCAAAGATAAAAACAAAGAAAAAAATTGCTGCTCGCACCAGGGAGCTCCTCTCCATGCTACGCGGAGTCTATCTTTTATAATTTTTTTTAACAAAAAACAAAACAAGAAAGAATTTGAAGTCAAAAAGTGTTGGCTACTTTGTTTGCTATCAATTTGCATTAATTAGCACTCTGAACAAAGTGAATATGATCGAATTTGCTGTCAATTTTAAAGTAAAAAATTCTGGCTTCTATGTTTTGTCGTTACATAAGAAACAGTGATATGTGAGAAGAAATTAAAGTGAGATTCTCTTTTTTTAATAAAGGGAATAAAATTAAATATTTAATTAGGAAATGAATTTGAAGTCAAAAAGTGTTGGCTCCTTTATTTGCTATCCTGTTTGTATTAAATAGCTACAGTACAACTTGTCAGCTTTTGTAAGTGTGAAAAAGTAAAAAAAAAAAAAAAAATAGTGCTGGATTTCTCTCCGCGCTGCGCGGAGAGGTGCTGGCAGAGAGGATCTCACTCTGCGCTGCGCGTAGTGTTTCACCAACTCTCCGCTCAACATGGAGGCCCTCTTTTTTTTTTTTTTTCTTTTTTGTTTATTTTTTTAGTACGTATTTTTGGTAATTTGACCATAATTTTGGTCACAATTATCAAAATCGCGTCCATAACCTCAATTCGGAAAGCTCTTTTCTGCACGCATGTCGTGGCATTGTTTTCAAGGTAAAAATTTGCTGTTTTCCTTCCAAATCTCCAATTATAGTTATTTTCTTCCTTTTATGGCATCTTTTAGTATGAAAACATACTTTCTAATGTTGTAAATATTTATCCTACGTCCAAAAAAAAAATTGACGTCATACACATAATTTTTTTTTTTTAGAAAACGATGTAAATTATATTAAAAAAGTTGTCGTGAAAAAAAAAATTCATAAAATAATTGATTTTTTTTAAGAAAAAAGACAAGTTATACGCATTTTAAAATGTAATATTTAACTATTTTCGATATTCATTTAGATCATTCAATGTGTCTTGAAACGAGTTTCGAAAAAATATAGAAGATTAATGAATTCGATTACCGTACAATCATCGATAAATTTTTAAATTTAACTTATTATCGAAATTCTTAATTTTTTAAATAATGTCTCCTTTAACATTAAAATAATTTAAAAGATTATTAGTAAACTTTCTAAATGACGTAAAAAATTTAAGAGATTATTTAAAGAATTAACTAATCAAAACAAAAAAATCCTAAAAATGATCCGCGCTGCGCGGAGCAATTGCTCCTGGCTGCGTGAAGCAAATTTGCTCCGCGCAACTAGGAGCCATATATATATATATATTTTTATTTTTATTTTTATTTTTATTTTTTTGCGCGGAGCCAAATTTTTTTTTTAATTGGACAATTAATATTTTTTTTGTCAACTTTTTTAAGACACGCGTTTGATGTACGTTTAACTATTTTCGATATTCGTTTAAATCATTCGATATGTCTATAATATAATTCTCGAAATGAGTTCGATAGAATATAAAAAATATATTTTTTATAAATGTTGCATAAATGAACGGAGAAAAGTAGGGCGATAATAATTTTATTAGGAATTTTTACATCATAAAAAACAATTATTATTTTATTAATGTTTATTAATTTTTCGCGAAAATTTTCTTAATATAATTTACTTCACTTTTCTGAAATTGATTATTTGTGGGGGGACTACTTGAACAAACGATTTAAAAAAAAAAAAATAGGAAAAAAAAAGAGTTTGGAGCATTTTTTTCCAAACTATTTGGAGCAAAAATTCTCCAAATTGCTCAGTGCAAAGGGGAGAATAATTTTTTTATTTTTAATTTCAGTTTTTAATTTCATATTATATTTTACCTTATAACGTGACACAAAGTTTATTTGTAGAATTTTTTTTCTTATTGTTACTTTTTCCTCTCGATAAATTAATTTTTTAAATAATCTAATAAAATTTTTGACGTCATTTAAAAAATTTTCTAATAAATTCTAATATTTTTTAATCACAAAAGAAACATCGTTTAAAAAATTAAGAATTTCGATAACAAATTAACTTTAAAAATTCATCGACGATTGTACGGTAATCAAATGCATACTTTTTCTATATTCTCTCGAAATTCATTTCGAAATCTATATCATAAACACATCGAATGATTTAAATGAATATTAAAAATAATTAAACGTAAATCAAACGCGTGTATTAAAAAATTGACACAAAAAAATATTAATTGTCCAATTAATTATTATTATTATTATTATTTTGGTCTCCTGGCAGCCAGGAGCAAGTGCTCCTGGCTTGGCGGAGCAACTTATCAAAATTTATTTTTATTTTCTTTTTTTTTTTTAAGTATGACATCAATTTTTTTCTTTTTATTTTTGTACATAAAAATTCCTAATAAAATTATTATCGCCCTACTTTTCCCCATTTCTTTACGCAATATCTGTAAAAAATATATCTTCTATATTCCATCGAAACTCATTTCGAGAACTATGCCCCCGTTTGAGCCCCATTTTTCCTAAATTATAATGAGATGAATAGTATTTTTTTGAAAAATGAGTGGTTGAAAAGTTTTTGATTTACGTGTAATATTATTTTATTGAAGATTGTGTGGTTAAAAGTAGGAGAGAGAAAAATTTAATTTAATGTAATGAGGAATAATGGGGACCAAACACATGCTATATTATAAACACATCAAATGATCTAAATGAATATTTTACCTTATACCGTGACACAGTTTATTTGTAGAATTTTTTTCTTACTGTTACTTTTTCCTCTCGATCAATTAATTTTTTAAATAATCAAATAAAAATTTTGACGTCATTTAGAAAATTTTCTAATAAATTTTAAAATTTTTTTAATCTCAAAAGAAACATCATTTAAAAAATTAAGAATTTCGATAACAAGTTAACTTTAAAAATTCATCAAAGATTGTACGGTAGTCAAATGCATAGATATTCTATATTCTCTCGAAGTTCATTTCGAGATCTATATCATAGACACATTGAATGATATAAATGAATATCGAAAATAATTAAACGTATATCAAACGCATGTATTAAAAAAGTTGACACAAAAAATATTAATTGTCCAATTAAAAAAAATTATTTATTTATTTATTTTTGTCTCCTGGCAGCCAGAGCACTTGCGCGAGCAACTTATAATTTTTTTATTTTTTTATTTTTGTAAGTATGAGTTCAATTTTTTTCTTTTTGTTTTTGGATGTAAAAATTCCTAATAAAATTATTATCGCCCTACTTTTTCCCATTTCTTTACGCAATATCTGTAAAATTAATATATTTTCTACATTCTATCGAAACTCATTTCGAGAACTATATCATAGACACATCGAATGATCTAAATAAATATTTTATCTTATAACGTGATACAGAGTTTATATAATTTTTTTCTTACTGTTATTTTTTCCTTTTGATCAATTAATTTTTTAAATAATCTAATAAAAATTTTGACGTCATTTAGAAAATTTCCTAATAAATTTAATTTTTTTAATCTCAAAAAAAACATCATTTAAAAAAATTAAGAATTTCGATAACAAGTTAACTTTAAAAATTTACGATGATTGTACGGTAGTCAAATGCATAGATTTTCTATATTCTTTCGAAACTCATTTCGAGATCTATATTATAGACACATCGAATGATCTAAATGAACATCGAAAATAGTTAAACGTACATCAAATACGTATATTAAAAAAGTTGATACAAAAAAATATTAATCGTCCAATTATATATATATATATATATTTTTTTTTCTGTGTGTCTCCTAGCAGCCAGGAGCAAGTGCTCCTGGCTGCACGGAGCAACTTATCGATTTTTTTTTTTTTTTTTAAGTATGACGTCAATTTTTTTCTTTTTGTTTTTGGACGTAAAAATTCCTAATAAAATTATTATCGCCCTACTTTT